CCTCCAAGGTCGGAGGTCCAAGGGAAGGGGCTGAGAAGGAGGAGGCGGAGAAGCAGGAGGAGAAGCAGGAGGAGGAGGAGGAGGAAGGGGAGGAGGAGGACCAGGAGGAGGAGGAGGAGGAGCCGCAACGCGCCATTGGTGCACATCTTTGCTGCCGAGGGGTACTCTCAGAGCGTCTCAGGTGCATATAGAAGAGAACTGTACACGAGGGTATGTCGGGTAGGTCCTCTTACAGGCAGATTATATGGGAAAAAGCAGCAAATTCAAAAGTCCCTAGACTATTATTCACTATTTTTGAATATTCCACCTGTAAGAGGACATGCTCGACTTCACACTATGGTCGGGGGCGCGCGAACATGGATTAGCGATCTATGCATTTAGCGCGCGGTTGCCAAATCCATGGATCGGGGGAGGTGCCCTTCCCGAAATGCGGCCAGTGCCGCCTCGTTCGGCGGCGGAAATCCGCGATTCCCCATAAAAACGGGACCCGCCGCTAATCCACGCCCCCTTGATCCATGTTTGCGATCGCCTGATACGGGGTGGATGATGCCGACAGGGCGTGCCCCATCCTTTTGCCGGCTTCCGTGAGCGCTGTACCGGCCGCTGGCAAGGGGATGGCTGTGACCCTCCCGGCGACTGGTTGCAGCTAGCTGTCGGGTCCTGGCGTCCAGCCTCTGCAATTCAGCTTCGGGCAGAGAGGGCAAATCCGCCGACCCCTTGGGGTTCATCGGCGTGTGACATGTTCGCCCCTCCCCAAGCCCCTCTCCCGGGAGCCCGGTCCGGTCGATTTGGAAGGGGGGGGGACCCCTGGGACCAGCCGATCGCATCACGGGGGGACAAAGGGCTCCAAAACATGCCAAAGTGGTACCAAGAGGCCCTCCGGACGGTCCAAGAGAGCCACAAGCCGCCGAAAGATCCATCCAAAACGCTTACGCTGGCCTCCAGACGGCTCAAGAGGCCCCTAAGACGACCCCCAAAACCCTCAAGAGGCGTCCCAAAACGGTCCCAAAGAACAAAAATCGCCTGATTCCTGCAGGGAAACGTGCATTTGTAGCACATTCACCTCCTGTACGTTCACAACGTCCAGGACAGCCGAAGAAGCCTCCTGGATCGCCCCAATACGGCACACGAGGCACCCATGAGGGCTCCAGACGACCCAAGAGGGCCCAAAGGCCGCTCAAGAAGCCCCAAGACAGCCCCAAGGGGGGCCCAGTGGGGGAACCCGAACGAACATTTCGAGCCTTCGACCCCAAACCGCCCCCCGGCTGCCCCAAGAAGCCCCCAACAGGCTCCCAGAGAGGTCCGCGAGGCCCGAACAAAAAACTCCCAAGATGCCTCCAGGAGGCCCCCACGCGGTTCAAGAACTGCTTCCCAAACGCCCCCGAGATGTCTCTCATGAGACGCCGTCTGCCATCCGCGTGGCCTCAGACCCGCAGCCCAAGCACGGTGGCGGGATGTGCCGAGAGCTCGATAATCAAACGTGCTAGAGGAACCCCCCCCAAAGGCTTCCAAGAGGCACTCAGGAGCAACACGCAACAACTGCCAGTCCCCAAAGGAGTCTGCGTCGTGGCGTAAGCCTAAGAATCAATTTCGGCGGCCAGCCCAAGGGGGAAGTGAGAGGGGGCGGGCCTTCTCAGAAGGCTCGGAAGTCCCCCGTCCTTCCGAGAGGTTTTCTAAACAGAAGACCTCGCAGAAGGCTGGAGGGCTTCTGAGAACCCCCGCCGCCTTCTGAGAATGCCTCCCCCTTCTCACTTCCCCCCCCCCCGCTCGCCGCCGACAAGTGGTCAGATGCCGCCGCCATGCTGGCAGGCGTCTGGAAGGGCACGGCGCAAGAGCACAGCCGCTCTCGCCCGCCCCCTTGCCATTGATCGCGTGCGCACTGCACGGATGATACCAACCAAGCGTTTCTTCAGCGCTCGCGTCGGCGAAATCTTCGGTGGCAACTCATGGGAGCCTCCCATACCATCTTGTCGGAACTTGCGAATCGACGCTGATCCACGCCAAATTGACGCCGATCGACGCTAATCGACGCTAAACCGGCGCTAGCTCATCGACTCCCAGATGCTCATCGACGCGAAAGACATACTCAATCGGGTACACCAGGCTCCCGTGATTTGCTACGGTCGGACCTAGGACAGAAGAACATCCCTCAAGAACTTGAGACCCTCCGCCAGCCCAGCCACACAGAACATCCAAGGGTACCCTCCCCAGGATGCACAAGAGCATCCAACAAACACGAAGAACACTAGGGTACCCTCCCCGAACCGACCTCGATCTTATACCTTGGTCCGGCTGTACCGAAGACAGCGGCTCCCCCATCGGGCAGCAGCTCGGCCATCAAATCCGCTCCAACTGTGGCGCGCGGTGGTCGGCTCGGGGCGCGCAGGCGTCTCTGCGCTCGCCGCCGTCACCGCCGTGCTCGAAGGAGCGCTGTCGCGACTGGCAAGCCCCCCCCCCTCCTGGGTTCGAACGGGGGGGAGGAGAGGGGGGGGTATAGACAGCCTTCCACTCCGAATCGGGGGGGGAGAGCAGAACCACCCACCCACCCCCGCGCCCCCTGGTTCAAACGGGGGGGGGGGGAGGGTGCAAGGGTGCAAGGGGTTGCCCTTCAGTTCAGATCAGAGGGGAAAGGGGGGGAGGGAGCGGAATCCATTACAGATAGATCCAACCCACATAGGATACTATGAGAGCTGGATCTATCCTCCGTAGGACTCTATTCAACCTGGATGGAGCCCCCGTAGGGTTGTATGAAGGCTGGATCGAGCCTTAACGTGATGTTTTAGAGCTGCATCCACCAGACCATCATAAAATCCTGTTAGAGTTGGGCCGAGCACTGGTATGATCCTCTTAGAACTGGGTCCAGCCCACGATAATACTCGATGCAAATCTGATCGAGTTCTAGTGGGATTCCATTTGAGCTGGATCCAACCCTGGTAGCATGATTCGCTTCGAGTTGCACCGAGCCCGCATAGGATGTCACTAGAGCTGGATCATGCCCAGAAAGGATTCTCACAAAGCTGGATCTACTTTTTGTTGGATTATATGAGAACTGGATCGAGCCCCAATGGGACTCCACTAGAGCTGGATCCAGCCCTAGTGGCAAGATTCGATTAGAGCCTGAGTGAACCGAAGGTCCCGCTCCCCGCCTCCAATTTCGGGGAGGGGGGGCTCCAATTCCCCCCTTTCCAGTTCACTGGGAAAGGGGGTGGGTTTTTCAGGGGGAGGGATAAAATTCGAGGCAAGCGACGGCGGATCGTGCTCCCTCGCATATTTATCTTCCCCGTTCCCCCTCTCATCCCAGCTGAGCCCGGGCAGGGGGCCGCCCAAGGAACCCCTCGGCGCCGTTTGGACCGGGCCGAGGGACTTTACGCCGATGCTGGCTGGCACAGACGATTCGCGCCAACGTGCGACTGTCCACCGAGGCGCTTACAGTGGAGGCCAGTCCGCAAGAAACCTTCGGCAAGAAGCCCAACCCTGAGACCCCAGGACGTCCATTGATGTTTGGTGTGGGAGCGTCACGATTTCCACAGCAAAACCCTTGAAACCCAAGAAACACCGGGCACCCTGGAGGCGAGCAGGGTGTTTCTTGGCATGGTTTTCGATGTATATTCGACGTAGACAATTACATGAGGGCTGGAACACGCTGCGCACGGGGTGTCAAGCTGAACGGGGTAAAACACATATTGGGCTGACACGCGTCCAGAGCACTGGTCGACATCTTGATGCCTGGGCACTGGTTGGCATCGATTGACCCTTACGTGCGCATCATTCCCCGATTTCAGCTCTCCTCGGCCACTTTCTGTCGCAGGCATCTTCCCATGCCCAGCTGCAGAATGGGCATGTGTTTCTCACCAATCCAACCCTCCCTAATCCAGAACCTACGGGCGGCCCGTGTGACCCTTACACCGGCCCATCGGATGCTCGCCGTAGTGGAGAAGAGCGCGCGGATGTAGAACCAACCCAACATATATGATTATGTTAGCCCGTGTGGGCCCCAAAGAGTGCGATCAATGTGGTAGGTGCAATCTAGGTGGTGCAATCCAGATGGTGCAAACTACGCGGTGCAAAGTAATTGCACAACAGTGCAAACCAATGCAACCCTACACAACAACATGCAGAGCAAAGCAATGTAATGCGATGCAAAGCAATGCAATCAAAGGCAAAGCAATGCACAACAATGCAAGAAACAATGCGAAACAATGGGACGCATGACAAAACGAAACACAATGCAGACACAATGCAAAACGATGCGTCGACGGGCGGCGACGAGCGAGCGGGACCGACGAGCCAGCCGGACCGCCACTGGGGCCCAACGGGGACCGCGGCGACGGGCGGCAACGAGCAGGCCTGACCGCCACCAGGGCCCAGTTACCTTAGAACAGAAGTAAGAACCCCTCAGTGCAAGCACTGTTTAGGGGAAAGGCACTACGTTCCAAAGAAACCTGCGCCAACTTCATGGGAACGTATCGCACGCCCTCCCCTACCTCGCTGAGCCACCCATTCACGTACAGCGTTTGGGATTCGCAAGGGGCAAAGGAAGCGGACCACCTACTTGTAAGCTGCTAGATGAGACGCGGGGCCTACCAAGCTTCTCAACGGACAAAGCAACCGTCTACTACGATGATGTGCGGTGGCATTGCGCTGACACTGTAGACCTCCTTCATCGCCCTCCTTCGCTCGCTTCGCCGCCGCCTCCTCTTTCTCTCTGCATCCGTCCGCCTCCTCCCTCTCTTTCTCACACTCCGCGCTGCTTCGTTCGCCTTCTCCTGCTCCTCCTCCTCCATCTTCCGCCCGCTTCCGTCATTTTCCGTCCACTGTCCTTCTCCATCCTCTCCAGTCTCCCGTCGTCTCGTCCTGCATTGTTCTCCTTCTCTGCGCTCCGTCATCCAACCTCTGGCCTTCTGTTCTGTCCTCGTCCCCGAGTATTTTCTTTCCTTTCTTCCTTCCTTCCTTTCTCTTTGTCCCCCTCGTCGCCGTCGCCCTACTGCTGCTGTTCCTCCTCATTCCGTCCTGTTTGATCCCTCGATCGCCCCCGGAACGTCCCAGCGACCTCCCCCCCAAACCCACCCTCCCCTTCCTCGTCCACCAGCGACAACAAAGACGACGAAGACGGCGACGAGGACGACGCACGGGAGGCTCCAGGCGCCTATGGTGGACCCTGCCGCACCGAAGGTGGCCCGGGCCCGTAGCGCCTCCTCCAGCTCGAGGCACCTCGGAGGGCCATGGGGGAGGGAAGGCCGCCGCTCGCCTTCCTGCCGGACGAGGGCGCGCGCAGCTATTCTTTTTCTCCCTCCCTGCCTCCTCGCTTGCATTCGAAACCCAGTGCTTCAGAGGTCGGGGCCCCTTGAGACCTGGGGGCCACCCTGGGGCCAGACGGAGCTCAGCAGTCTGACATAAACCCCATCCCTCACTGAGCAAGGAGCGGCCGCCCCAACATTCCTACACGTTCCTATAATCCTACCACGGAATGTTCCTCGAACGAAAGAATGTTCTAATGACCGACGCAACGTTCTTAGAACATGAAGCCGATCAATTCAAGCAGTACTGCCTCACACAGAAAGTATTCAAGAACATGTCGTGCACATCACAGAAGTTCAGGATAACAGTCTTTGGTGAGCCTGTAGACAAGCCAGGACGCCTCGCCACTGCTCGATCTCGGGGAGGGGAGGGGGGGGCAGCTCCAGGGGGGACACGGAGGCCTGGAATCGACGACCTATCGCTGTTAGATCGGCGATAGGATCTCGACAATGAGCCCACACGATTCTGGGCAACGTTGGGGCTGTCGGGCCCCCGTCGCAGATGAATGCCCATGCCCCCAAACGGTGCCCCTGATTGGAGGCGGCCGGGGGGTCTGGGCTGGATAAGCCCAGGGTCCCCCGAGGGGGGGGATGAAAGCACATTCGCTCAGAATCGCTCCTCAGACCCGTCGGGCGGTCGGCACTGACAAGCTTGTCGAGCCACGCCAAGCCGTGGCGACGAGTTGAAGGCCGTATCCCTCGTGCTGTCGAAACTGACAAGCTTATCGAGCCGCGCCCAGCCTTGGCGACGAGGGGGCCTCTTTCTCCCCCCTTTCTGGCCGGAGCCCGGGGATGAAGGCACATTCGCTCAGAATCGCTCCCCCGACCCCTCGCGCAGATGAAATGAAACAAATCGTCGAGCCGCGCCCAGCCGTGGCGACGAGGGGGTTTCCTTTCTCCCCCCTTTCTGGCCGGAACTGGGCCGGAACTGGAGGGCAAAAGCAAGTTCGCCCAAAATTGTTCCCCAGAGTCCTCCCGCGGTCGTAGAAGACACGTTTCTGAAGCCGCGCCCAGCGGTGGCGACGAGGTGACTCCTCTCTCAGGGGCGTTCAGCCAGAGGCGTTGGCAAATCATGGCCCGAGGCACGCGCGCGGCCCAGAGAGGGCAGGGAACGCATCAACGTAAGACTAGGCGCCAGGAAAGATACCAAGACCCTGGCCACGATATCCCCCTAGCCCTAGTAGTCAATGCAATCCCTTCTTGGCCGCCCTCGACTTTCTCCCCCAGCTCTGGCCAGAACCCGTGCCGGGCTACCTCAGCTGCGGGCTGGTTCCAAGCCGCTGACCCCCCCGCTCACTCGTCGTCTTCGCTGCCGCCGCCGCCGCCGTCGTCGTCGTCGTCGTCGTTGTCGTCGTCGTCGCTGCCGCCGCCGCCGCCGCCGCTGCTGCTGTCATCGTCGTCGTCGTTGTAGCCGCCGTCGCCGTCGCCGTCGTCGTCGCCATCGCCATCGCCGCTGCCGCCGCCGCCGCCGTCTTCGTCATCGTCGTCGTCGTCGTCGCCATCGCCGCCGCCGCCGCCGCCGCCGCCGCCGTCGTCGTCGCCGTCGAAGTCGAGCGGTTGTGGCGGGGCTCCGCCTGCCCTGCAGCTCCTCGCCCTCGTCGCGGCGCCGCCGCTCGCCGTCCGCGGCCCGCAGCGCCTCCAGCTCTAGGCACCTCGAAGGGGAGCGGGAAGAGGAGGAGGACGACGACGAAGAGGAAGTGGAGGAGGAGGATGAGAAGGAGGAAAAGCAGGAGGAGGAAGAGGAGGAGCAGGAGGAGGAGGAGGAGGAAGAAGGTGAGGAGGAGAAGGGAACGAAGGAGGAGTCGCGAGCCCATGGAGCGACACGCCGAGTCGGACCAGGGGCGGAAGGAGCAGCGTGAAAAGGTGAAACGAACGCGATCGAACACGAAGCGCTTCGGGGCCCCAGGGCGCACCAAGCCCAGCCGAAACATCACGGCCGCGACGAGAGGCCCCGAGGAAGAAAGTCCAGGGTCTGAGGCGAAACCGAGTCGGCCCAAGACGAACGAATGACACCAAACGAGTCGCAGAAACTAGATGTTACGTGTATGAGCCCATGCGGCTCGTCATGCTACGGATATCAGGCCCCACTGGGCGGCGTCACCGGGGACCAGGGGCCTGCGGGGAACGGGGAGGGGAGGGGCCTTCCCCCCCCTTGGGTTCAAGCCATCCGTAAGATTGTCTCTCCTCCATTTCCTCTGGGGCCTGCCATGACGGGCCAACCTCGGGATCACATTCCCCAAAAAGTTGGGTTCGGGCTGTCCTGGCCGAGAAGGCCCCGCGCCTGCTGCACCCCACTCGCCCCCCCCCGACGCGTGCAACGCGTGGCCCCTGGTGCTCGCGGGAGGCACATCCCCCGAGCGCGGCCAGGGGACCCCCGGGACCACCGCGTCCTGACGGGGCGGCGGAGTGCCCTTGCACGCGCGCTTCGCCCCTCATGAGGTCTCGGCCTCCACGGCGCCCCTGGCCGCCTCGTGGGGCCGCTCGGACCCCTTCCAGGGCCTCCGCAAGCCTGGCCCTCGACCGAGGCGCGAGGGGAAGCGGCGGCGGCGGCTGCGGCGGAGGGGGGGGGGGCAGAGAGGACGAGGCGAGGCCCGAGGAGGTGCGAGGCGAAGGGGGGGCGGGGACGGGGGCCACTGGTGGTTCAGCAGGCCCCTCGGGGGGGTCGTCGACCCAACCTGGGCCGCGCCCGCCCTGGGGGGAGGAAGGATCCGATGCGAGAGGGGCTCAGAGGACGGAGGCAGAAATTCAGGGGGGAAGCAAACCTAAGTCTGGCCGCGGTGCGACACTCTGCTCCTGCGACGTCCTCCAGACGCTCCCCGCACGCTCTGGCTGCCACGGGGATTCCAACGGCTCCGCGCTCCCAAGCAGCCGCGGGGATTCAATTGGCCCCGCACGCCCTGGCTAACGCGGGGATTCCAGTGGCCCCGCGCGCCCTGTCGGTCACGCGGGTTCTAATTGCCCTGTGAGACCCTGCCCCTGGGACGTCCCCCAGCAGACGACGAGACGATCGCATCGTTTCGGTCTTTTCACTCGAAGCCACTGGCCCCGCGGGGTCCGACGCCGTAGGCACCCCGAGGGCCTCAGCGCCAGACCTGCGAGTTCTGGGCCCCCCCTGACCACCCAGAGCCCGCTTCCCAACAGAAGCGGACGCTTTGCGATGAGGATTCAGGAACGGCGATGGGAAGAGACAAACAAGAAGTAGAAACGCAAGGGGAGCAAGGATCAGGAAATGACCACCGGGTGTATTGGCGGTTGACCAGAACACTGGCAAGCGGCGAACCGCCCAAACTCAGCCGTCACGCGCCTGCCAAACCTGCAGAGGCAACTGGACAGGCACTCCCAAACGGAACCCACGACAAGCAGACATACGTAACAACGGATGAGTGCCAGGCCAGGATGGCGGAGGCATCGATAAAGAAAACAATCAACAGTGACAAACATCCATGCCAATTCCAAGCACAGAGCGAGGCACGGACGTCGTGAAGTCACAAAAAAGTAAATGCAAGTAGAGTGAGCTGACATGTGTTAACCAAAACGGTGGGCGCATTTGAGAAGGAACCCTTGGGGAAAGAATTCAGGGTCTGGAAGGCGGTGGGACTCGAATTGAGGATCGGCCATGGACATCACAGTCGCCCTCCTCCAATGAGGCGTCCTCCAGGGCGTGCGGCCTCCTGGGCACATTTCCTTGACGAACGCCCCCGCCGTATCGGATAAGGAAAGACGAAGCACGGGGTTGATCAGAACTGTAACACTGAAATATAAAAAGACGCAAGTCGTATCCACCTGACAACCAGGGGACAACAAAAGCTGAGGGTTGAATACACGAGGGGGAAACGCAAAGAGCCAGGCGGCGCGGGCGGGGACAAACATGAGAAGCGAACAGCTAAACCATCAAGAAGCGCAACAAGGGTATAATATTGCTTGGCAACATGATCACCAAACATATTGAGGTAGCACTGCGACGTACTGACGATCAAAAGATGTGAAGTTACTGCGGGTGCACAACAGAAAACCCAGATTTCACCAAACAGGCATGTGCCCCACAAGCAAAACTAGAGACTCTCTGAGGCCTCTGATACCGCTGATCGTTACATCACCTTTCGATGGCAAGGGTACAAATACTTACCAAGGGCTATCGCAATCGCTATCGCTGCCAAACATGTTCCCATATCCTCGGTCCTGCGCGCCAGAAACGGGTGACGACAGACTCAAAAACTCATGCATCAACTCTTCATCGTGGAACGCAGCAACCGGCACGCTGCTATACCGCAACTCGTGCCACATCGTGACCCGACCTTTACAGCGCAATTGCCAACAGCCAACATAGTCCCGAGGAGGTAAACCCACGTAGAAATCATACTTGTATCCTATCTCTTTGTGCCAGCCAGCCTTTTATGTGACAACCATCGCACGGAGAGAGATCCGCATGAGAGTAGCCTCTGTTCAGAAAGCCTCGGAGCATCTGCAAAAATGTGTGGGGCTCAACGTATTCGAGACGATCAGATCCGGGAGCACTGCTGCACCACCCCTCGGAATCCAAACCTCGTTGCCACTGGTGCCAGGCAGGGCCGATAACATGCCTGTCCCTGACAAGCTGCCGTTGGAAACACCATTTCTCGATGCGCATGCGTGAAGCCATTTGTATATATGTCTTGTCGAACAACCTGCGTATCAAGCGAAACTTGCTTCTGCACGTGCGTTGGTGATAACGACGTTGGGACCACGGCCTGAGCATCAACTTTTCCGTCCGACAACTTATCCACGAAGCTAACTTTGAACAGGTTATCGTCGCGCTCCAAAGCGACATCAGGAGCCATATCCGAAGCAACATGCAACCCAGCTGGGTGTTCAGTATCAGTGGCTTCGGTATGCGCAACCCCATCACAACCATGACAGCATGCGACAAGAAAAACTCAGGAGGAACTGGGGGAGCAGCATATAGCGCGTCAAACACATAGATATGGCTACCTTACTGACGTGGCCCACTATTGGAATGGGCCATGCTCACAACATCCAAGCGAGCCTTTGGATGCGCAGTCAGACGTAATCTACGCCATTTACGCGTCTGAAAGGTGCTCGGGGACGAATAGTACTTCACGAAAATATTCTCTCGCCGAGGCCACGCCATACGGGAACCCACGCAACAAAAAGAGACATCGGGTATTGAACCAGTGACCTCGAGACGCAAAGAAGCGAGAGGCACACAATCCGCCAGCAGCAATGTAAGCAAGATGCGCAGTAAGCGGGATGTGTAGAGTAACTGGAGAAACGAGGAACGCACAGGAAGAGAGAGAAGCACGATGATGTGGCCTCCGGGCACGGCACATCTCGAGTGCCCCTCGACGGTAACCAGGAGAACCTCGGGCCCCAGGATCGCCCGACAGAGGCCGATCTCCCCCAAGGGGCCCAAGTCGCCCCCCACCCCCGAGAAGGGAGGGTCGGGGCCTGGATGCGAACCCGCGCACGGGAACCTTCTGGGCCGCGCGGCCAGGTTACCGCCAGGCGTTCCCGCAGTCCTCTTCCGCCTCCTTCTCCTCGTCCTCCTCCTCCTCCTCCTCCTCCTCACCCTCCGCCTCGTTACCCTCCCCCTCATCCACTCACTCCTGCCAAAAGTAGTTTTACCCATTGGTTGTCCCTCCCCCTCTCCCACACCTCAGTGTCCTCATCACTATCATAATCCCCATACGTACTCCCATCCGGGCCCCATCACGATCGCTATTCTCCATCGCATCCGCCTCCTTACCATACAATGCATCAAGATCCCTGCCTCCGCCCTCGTCCCCATCCTTGTTTCCACTCTTGCCTCCGTCCTCGTCCACATGCCCATATCGTCCCCGCTCCTCATCCCCATTCCCGTCCGCACTCTCGTTGTCACACTCGTGATCCTTACCGCCACTCTCTGCACTGAGATCCTCGTCCCCATCTTCACCCTCGTTCCTCTCGCCACTCCCCCCGCACGCACACACATCTTCGCACACACGCGCACACACTCACGCGCACGCAGACACACATACATACACACACACGCCCACACCACACACACACACACCAAAAACCACACACACCACACACACACACACACACCAAACACCACACACCACACACAGACACACAAACACATAAACGCATACACACATACACACATACACACACACATACACGCATACACACATACCTATACGACCACCCTTCGGGTGATAAGGAGGTTCGGGGGGGAGGAACCAACGTCTCACTCGATCGGTCTCACTACCGATGTCACTATCGGTCTCGCTCGATCTCACCCGATCGATCTCACAATCGATCTCACTCGATCTATTTCATTCGATCGATCTCACAATCGATCTCACTATCGATCTCACTATCGACCTCACAATCGATCTCGCATTCGGTCTAACTATCGATCTCACTACCGATATCAAAGTCGATCTCACAATCAACGTCATCATCATCATCATCATCGTCATCAACACCATCAACATCATCATCATCAGCATCATCGGGACACCATCATCATCATCATCATCATCATAATCATCATCGTCGTCAACATCATCATCATCATCATCACCTGATCACCATAATCATCAACATCATCATCACCATCATCATCGGGGCACCATCATCGTCACCATCATCATCATCAAAATCGTCACAACCAGGGCACCATCATCATCCCCATCGGAACACCACCATCATCATCTCATCACCATGATCATGAACAACATCATCAACATCACCATCACCATCATCGTCGGGGCACCATCACCGTTATCATTAGCAACATCATCATCAACATCAACATCATCGTCACCATCATCATCATCATCATCTCCATCATCATCATCATCATCACCATCATCATCAACATCATCGGGACACCATCATCATCATCATCATCAACATCAGCATCATCATCATTGGGCCACCATCATCAAAATCATCATCACCTCGTCACCATCCTCATCATCAACATCATCATCATCATCGGGACACCATCATCGTCATCATCATCATCGGGACACCATCATCACCATCACCATCATCATCAGCAGCATCATCAATATAATCATCATCATCGTCAACATCATCATCACCATCATCATCATCATCAAATTATCTGGTCATCATCAACATCATCAGGATCATCATCATCATCATCATCATCATCATCATCATCATCATCATCGGGGCACCACCATCATCAGCAACATCATCATAATCAACATCATCATCGGGGCACCATAATCATCACCACCATCACCATCATCATCATCAACATCATCAACATCGTCAACATCATCATCATGATTATCACCATCATCATCATCACCATCGGGACACCATCATCATCACCACCATCACCACCATCATCATCATCATCATCATCGTCAACATTATCAACATCATCAACATCATCATCATCATCATCATCATCATCATCATCATCATCATCATCATCATCATCGGGACACCGACGGGACACCGGACGGACACCGGCGGGACACCGCGCGCCACCGGCTCCCGAGCGGGACACCGGCGGGACACCTCGGGGCACCGGTTGCCGGAAGGGAGACTTTTGGTCCGGCAGCGCCTCAGCTACAGGAGACTTATTTCTCGCCCGCCCATGCAGCTTCGCCTCGCCCGCACGCACGGCACGCACGAACACGAAACCGAAACCGATTCCCGGTAGGGGGGCTCTCCGTTCCACTTCGATCTCACCCCCTCACCTCCGATGCACACATACACACACATCCGCTCCTCATCCTCTGAGCGTGCGCTGTGTTTTATGAAGCTGACTCAGTGGGAACAGCAAGGAGGACGAGGAGGGGGGAGGAGGAGAAGCGAGAAGCGAGGGAAACGGGGGAGCAGCAAGTGTTCTACCCCGGACCCACCCACCCACCCGCACTTTTGTGGGCGGAGCTCAACTGACCTACCATCGGTATCGTCCTCGTCATTTCTAAATGTAAGCCATTACCGCTGGCATTGCATCTGTTGCCGCCTTGACCATCGTTGCCACCACGAACAGCAGCATCATACCATTCGTCATCCCCAGCGCCGTCGGCATTATCCCTCGCCCGCCTGAGTACATGGATCTGCATGGTCATGGTTTGCACGTATGTCCTTTCGTTGAACTGTTCGAACACGTTCGGATGAGACTGGGGTGCGTATGCGCTGAATCGATCGTCTGGCGCGTGCGAAACGCGCGTTCTTCCTCCGACATCTATGCACAAGAACCAGAAGATATGCATCCGACCACGAACAAAAACACAATAACATACACAAACAACCAATGATAAACAAGTGCATGGGGAAACCCGATGAATTCTTGATTAAGGCTTCATCGCGTTGGTACGCGACGAGAAACGCCAAATCCTGGACAACGCAGCACTGAGAAATGGCGAACCAGCCTGGACCACCTCAGAATTCAGAGGATGTCTCTGTGCGGGGGTCCCTCGGCTGATAATAGCTTCTACCGCAACAAAACCCCCGTCGGCACAGCTGCTTGGAGAAGACAAACTCACCCGTTGAAACTGACGTGCTGAAAACTGTGCGCGAACGAATGGTTGCAAGACATACCACGCGCTTGGGTTGAAGCCGACTCTGAAGACACTGGCAATGCGCATTTGATCAATCCCGCGACGTGTTTTCGAGCTGGCAGACTGGAACTACGGGCGGCTACAGCGTCGCTGAAGGAGGGGCCCAAGCATGCAAAATAATCCAATCGTGGAAACGAGCAACCCCCGAAGACGCCAAACGGAAACTCGGACGCACGAACCACCCCGTGCGCCCGAATTCCGACGGTGGGTCGGTCGACGGAGAATAGCGGATACACGCGCAATGCGAGAACGGTGGCTGGGGAATAATTGAAGGCACGTATGGCTGTTGTCAAAAAAGCGGCGTTGGGGCTGCGCCATGCATGGAGAGACCACCTGGGATCTCAAGGGTCTGCTGGATTATTTGTGCCTTATTGGGCGGCCGCGCGGAGGCTGGCTGGTGGGGGGTCGGTTCGGGTGCCTTTCCTTCTCTTGAACCTCCTGTCTTCGTCTTCCGTCCTCCTCCTCGTATCGATTCGAACGCAAACTCGCATCGTCGATTCCGACGTCCCAGGGGAGTGTTCCGGGAGCGTCGATTGTGAGGTGAGGGAGGTCCGCCTGGAATCGTATGGCCATGTTGGGCTGCACGTGGCCTCTTTGGCGGCCTTTGTGGGGCTGCCTGGGGGACGATTGTAATACTTACTCTCCTCTACCGCCTGCGCCGTCTCGTCAATCGATCTCCTCCTTCCATTCCGTCTCGTCAACCGATCTCCTCCTTCCGCATGGCTCGAGCGAAAATGCGGGTGTTCCCGGGGAGGCGTCCAGGAATATCAACTCCGAGGGGGGGCGTTCACCTGGGCTCGGGCGCAAGGCCATGTCTGGCTATGTGCACTTTCTTGGGCGACCTGTGGTGGGCTGTTCAGATGCTTGCCCTCCTGATGTGCATCCTGCCTTCCTCATCCGCCGCCTCCTTCTAGTCGCCCGTTCTCCTCCTCCTCCTCCTCCTTCTCCTCCTCGTCCTCCCCCTCCTCCCCGTCTCAATGCGGTCGGTGCTTCCAGAGGCCTTTGGGCACGCCAGCTCGCATGCTCCTGGCAAGACTGTCAGGAGTGTCGTCGACTCCTTAAGCTCCCAGAAGAAAAAGAACACCGTCGCTCAGCACCCCCCGAGGGAGACTGGCCCAATGCGAACACATTTGCCTGGGAGGAATGTAGGTTGGCGGCGCGAAGAGGGTGGTAGGGGGAGGGGGGAAGGCTTCTTAGAAGGAGGCTGCTTCTTAGAAGGCGCTGGCCTTACATCTACACAGAAGGTCCGCGCCTTCTAATACGCAGGGGTGATTCTAAGAAGCCCTCCCCCCTCCCCCTGCCCCCCTCTGCGCGTGGCCGAGTAGGGTGGGGTGGGGCGGGGGTGAGGGGGTTGGAGCAGGGTGCGGGTCTGCATGTGCGCCGGACCTGAGGACCCTACTGGGCTAACAGTAGCTGCTTTAGGCGTCTGGTGTGCTTCTGGAACACCTCTCAGGCGCCCCTCGGGGTCTCTCATAGGGCAACCTGGCGTTTCTCCTGGACTCTCCTACTCTCCATGTCTTTCCTCCTCCTCCTGCTCCTCCGTCTCCATCTCTTTCTCCTCCTCCCCATCCTCCTCCTATAATCCTCCTCCTATTTTCCTCCTCCTCCTCCTCCTCCTCCTGCTCATCCCCTCCTCTCCCCCTCCTCCTCCTCCTCCTCCTCCTCCTCCTCCTCCTCCTCCTCCTCCTCCTCCTCCTCCTCCTCCTCCTCCTCCTCCTCCTCCTCCCGCCCCCCCCGCCCAGCCCGACCCCAGGAAGGGGGGAGGGCGGGCAGGGCGTCGGAGCCGCCTGACCCTCAGCTCGTCGCTCTCGGCCCGCCGCCGCCGCTCGCCCTCCTCCGCGGCACACGAGGCCTCCAGCTCCAGACACCTCGGGCGGATCCCCACGGGACGCACAGAGACATACTGTTACTATGTGTCCGCTTTGGAGGCGTACGTCCGATCCGGGCATATAGTACCTATACGACCACCTTGCGGGTGATAAGGAGGTTGGGGGGGGGGGGCAGCAATGGGCAACAGTGGTGAATGTTGTTGTGACAATGCCAGTGACAATGTCGGTCTCACTACCGATCTCACAATCGATATCACTATCTACGTCATCATCATCATCATCATCATCATCATCATCATCATCATCATCATCATCATCATCATCATCATCATCGACATCACCATTAACATCATCATCATCGTCATCATCATCAGCATCATCATCATCAACGTCGTCATCATCATCACAATCATCATCACCATCATGCCCATCATCACCATCAGCATCGCACAATCGATCTCACATTCGGTCTCACTATCGATACCACAATCGATATCACAATCGACGTCGTCATCATCATGATCATCATGATCATCATCATCATCATCATCAACGACACCAACATCATCATCATCATCATCATCATCATCATCATCATCATCATCATCATCATCGCCATCATCAACATCATCATCATCATCATCATCACTACCATCATCATCATCACCATCATCATCATCATCATAATCATCCACGTCATCATCGGGACACCGACGGGACACCGAAGGGACACCAGCGGGACACCGGCGGGACACCGCGCGGCACCGGCCGCCCAGTCAAGGTTCTTTTGCCCCGGCCGCGACTCAGCCACACGGGACACCAGCGGGACACCGGCGGGACACCGGCGGGACACCGCGGGGCACCGGTCGCCCGGTCAAGGTTCTTTTGCTCCGGCCGCGCCTCAGCCTCAGGAGACTTTCTCTCGCCCGCCCACGCAGCTTCGCCTCGCCCGCACGGCACGCACGAAGACGAAACCGAAATCGATTTCCCGGTAGGGGGGCTCTCCGTTCCACTTCGATCTCACCCCCCAACCTCCGATACCCATCTTGTCGTATCGTTTCTCGAGCGGTGTGGCCAGAAAGCGCCAACCACCACGACGCATATATTATGAGATTTCTCAGTGCGCGCGTCGCCCCTGGAGGGGCAACGCACACATAGTATTAGTATGTTGGGGTGACGCCGACCCCAGGCTAAGACGAGGGCGGAATCGAGACATAATCGGACCGATATACCCATCGGTCGGACGAAGTAGGTAGAAACATGAAATGGGAAAGGATTTGGAGGTAGATGGGGTTCCGTCCGCCCCCCAGGGATGACGGAAAAGGTGAAGCCACTCGGTCGTTGGCGTAGGAAGGCGCTTAAAGGATACCTGCTTTCAAGCACCGATGGGTAATCAAATCGAGGCGCCATCGGGCCGAGACCAGCCGCACCTCTCCGAGACTCGGCGGGTGTGGAGGTCGCGTGGGGCGCCGCGGCCGCTCCGGGGCGTCAGGGAGCGCTCTCTGAGAGCGATTCTGGAACGCTCTGGAACGAGTGTTTCCTGATTCTGGGCCTTGGTCGGGCATGTCCTCTTACAGGCGGGTTTGGAAGATAAATGAAAAAGTCGACAGGTGCTCAAGAATAGTCAAGAATAATAGGAAGATCGTCCTTGCACTACAAGCGAATTTCGGAAGGACGAATCTCTTTAAAAGTCGAGCAGTGCGCAAACATAGTCAAACAATGATGGGAACAACTCGTCCCCATACTATCTTTCGCCTGTGTTTGAAACTGCCTCCTGTAGGGGGACACGCCCGATTTGTCCGAAACCTCCCGATAATAACCCCCTAGGAATAATAAAGTTCGGGGTCCAGCGAGGACAGTAAACGTTGTCCCGGAGATCTCAGCATAACGATGAAGATGATGACGATGCTGATCAAGATGATCCTGAACGATCATACGAAGAGAGCAACTTCGATTCGCAACTTCCCCCCGCGATTCTAAAGCTCGGCCTTGCCGCCTCTCTTCCCTGACCAAACCTGTACTGGCCCGGGATAATGAACTCTCAGTGGTGAAAGCGGGGACCATTGACAACATTATGAAGAAAATCCTGGAGGTCTCGCGCGGCAACTTGAGACCCGATTTACGTCCGAGTCGGATTTACGTCGGGTTCACGTCGGATTTACGTCGGAATTACGTTGGACTGACTCCTGAGCATCGCCGCGCGAGCGTCGACCCATAGCTTACGGAACTGACAAGTGGACTAGACCATACTACTATGTCGCGCCGCGCGAGGCCTCCAGGATTCCCCTCACAAACAACCCACTGATCATCGGAGGGTGTCGGTTACTTCTGGTCCCGTCCGACCGCGGGCGGGTCCCCGGGCGGTGCCGCGGCCGGGCCCGTGACCACTCCGCCCGGGGAGCCACGGGCACAGGGCGGGAGGCCTGGGCGGAGGCATCCACACGCTCACATGCAGTGGAGGCCAGTCCACTCCCCCTCCTCCCCCCTCTCCCCCCTCCTCTCCCCCTTCCTCCCCTCCTCCCCCTCCTCCTTCCTCCTCTCCCTGTCTCCTCCTCCTCCTCCCTCCTTCCTTCCTCCTCCTCCTCCTCTGCCCTCCTTCCTCCTCCTCCGCCCTCCTCCTCCTCCTCCTCCTCCTCCTCCTCCTCCTCCTCCTCCCTCCTCCTCCTCCGCCTCCTCCCTCCTCCTCACCTGCTGGGGACGGGTCGGCCCAGATCAGCGCTGCAGCCAGGGCCAGCTGGGTCCGTGCCGCGAACCGAGGCCAGCCACGGGATGCACTAGGAGCCCGACCACAAGAGACCCTCCACAAGAAACCCAACCCTGAGACCACAGGACGTCCATCGACGTTTGGTGTGGAAGCGTCGCGCTGTCCACAGCTAAACCATCGAACCCCAGGAGACCCGGGGCACCCCGGAGGCAAGCAGGGTGCTTCTTGGCATAGGTCTCCGCTGTAGAGGGCAAGGTGCTGTACGCGCCGCGTCGCTGGGCCGACCATGAAGTTAAGCGTTAAATTAACACATATCGACCATCCACTCTATGAACACTGCCGACCTCCCAATAGATGTCAACTGGTTGGCCTCCCATCCCAGAGAATTCCGAAGGTGGTTGTTGGGGAGAGGGGTTTCCAGGAGAGGTCCCCCAGGGGGTTCGCACCCCCTGTTTTGACGAGGTTCCGAGGCCCCTGGGGGGCTCTCTGGAAAACCCCCCCTCCCCCCAAACCCCCTTTGGAACCCTCTGGCCATCGGTTGGCTTTCGAACCGAAGGGGACTCCGGGGTGAGTCGAACATTATTCAGGATGAGCGGACAATTTGAGGACTTGCGTCGTTCTCCGCCCGAAACGCCAAGAACTTCCGAGGTCCCCCAAGACCGTTTGGCGACCGGCCCTCCGGTAAGGTCTTCGAGACTCAGGGGTTATCGGACGGCAGGCCACCAAACAGTTCTTGAGCCCTGGATGGGCGGGGGGGACTGACTGCCACCCGATTGGCGACGGAGTAAAGGAGCTCAGAGGAATTCGCACCGCATCGCCGATGCATCTGCAAGAGCACCCAGAATCGACTCGACAAGTCGGATCGGCGATCGGCATGAGTCGTATCGGCGGAACCCGGCAGCCAAGTCGGGATAAATCGGATCGGCGAACATCGGCAGGCCAGCGCGGCCTCCGTGGAGATACCGAAATCCAAGTCGGCATCCGAAGTCGAATCGAATCGGAATCGATCGAAAGCGAACTGAATCGAGCTGGAGGAATCGAAATGAGCCCTGCATCTGCGATGCATCGGCGGCTTTGGGATGGAGAATACCGGGCTCCAGATCGACTCGGGGACGCATTGAATGCAAACATGGGTCAGTCGGGCTCTGTAGGATCCTGCTACGTCCTGCAAGACCCTGCAGGATCCTGCGCGCGAGCCCAGGTCAGTGCAACCCCTGCTCTGCAGAATCTTGCAAGATCCAGCGCGCTGGCTACCCCCCATTGGCGTAGGTCGGGCATGTCCCCCTACAGACAGGTTTTGGACGGACAAGAAAAATAGTCAAACAATAGTTCAAACATTGTCAAAACTGGTTCCCGAGCATTTTGGACCATTTGGGGATATTCCTCCTGTAGAGGGGCAGACGAGAGCCTTCCGGAACGCTCTGGAACGGAGCCACCCTCGTCCAAGCCCCGCCCGGTCGATCTTCGCGATCCTCGATGGGGGGCTCCCACTCGAGCCACATTTGAGCAGGGACCGACCGTCCCGGCATTCCAATAGGCCTACCACGACATTTTTTTAGAACCCAGAAGAAACTAATAACAAAAATATCTTAGAACATAGGCCCGATGCATGAAAACAAGACGGTCTCAACCAGAGAAATGTTCTGCGACCATCTCGTGCAAGCCACAAGAGGTTCTTAGAACATTCTTTGGAGGATGGGGGCGGGCGGGGGAGGCGACGTGCTCGACCAGGGCGCCCTCGTGTAGCGCCCGTCGGCCTGCGCCGCTCTCCCGCCATGCTCGGCGGGTTTCGCCGCGGGCGGTCCCCGGCGGTCTCCTGCGCGTGAAGCGGGGCGGCTGCGCTCCCCACGGGGCCCCAGCGCAGGAGCGGTGGCTGGGGGTCCCCAGGCGGTGTGGTGACCACACCGTGTGGTGAGTCGGTGGAGATTCGGGGTCACCGCACGGTTTTGGGACGTGGGTCGTCCTCCGAAAATGCCTCGGGCGACTGGGGCCTCCGAGGCCCCAGAACCGTGTGGTGGTGGACCCTGCGGGAAGGTCTTTGCTCACCGCCAGGTCAGGCCTGTCACCACACGGTTTCGGGACCCCCAGGGTGGGGGGGAGGGAGGGAAGTGCCGAGCCGGCGGGCTCTTGTACGACGTTGTGCGTGACCCAGCGCAGCGCAGCGTGATGATGCTGCTGATGGAGACGTCGTGGGTACCCTTGTCGCGGCGCTCGCGACTCGCTGCAATGTCGGGCACGCAGATCGCTGGTGCCAATATGCTGTAGACTCTACCGGCCATGCCCTCCCGAGCAGGCTTGACCACCATCGATCCGCCTCCTTCGACCCCCATCGTCGATCCTCGATTTGATCCTGCATCGTCGATCCTCGATCTTCGACCCTCCACCTCTGCTCCCCATCCTCGACCTCGATCCTCGCTCCCGAGCAGCCCCCTTCGATGCTCGATCCACACTGCCAAGTGTGGCGCAGCCTCCAGCACGTGCCGGGGGGGGACCGCCGAAGCGACCTTGCGCGGCTGGCAGGCCCCAGGCGGCCGCCGCACGCCCGACAGGCCCCTCCCGGGCAGGGCGCCGGGTAGGGCGCGGGAGCCCGCTCCCCCGCCCACGGAGTTTCGCAAGGGGGGGCACTGGAGCCCCAAGCTACGGCTCTCTGCGTGCGACGAAGCCCCCCCCCCCCCCCGCAGAGGCCGTGCAGTCGAGTCTGACTGGAGAGAACACTCGAGAGGGCACAAGACCCTTCCGAGGCCCACATGAGCGACGATCAGAAAAGGGTCTTACGCGAGATGGCATAGCGACCTCACGCGGTTGCTTGCGCGGGCCGCCAGCGCGCCATAGTGGCGACGAGGGCACCTACACGCGGCCTTACGCGGAGAGCTTACGCGCGAATCTCGGGGCAGTCGAGCCCGCCTTCTTGCGTTGCTCACATGGCCCCAGGAATACAAAGGACACGGCACGCGAACACACGGGACACAAAGGTACACTTGGTTTGGCAGGGTCGACCTGCTAATCACAAACTCGACCGTCGGCGCAGCCCGCCTCTTTGCGCCGCGCGGGCGAGCTGCCTCTCCCCCGCCGCCTGGCTCGCCTGGCTCGCCCCGCTAGACGCTCCGACCAACGGTGTTTCACGTTTGGTGCCAGTCGGGTGCGGCGCCGCTCCGGGAACGGGGCGGAATTCGAGGCCCCCTAGATGGGGTCGGAGTAGATGGGGTCGGAGGATCGCGCCGTATCGGCGATGCATCGGCGATGCACCGGCGATGCATCGCCGACGTCGGCGACGCATCGGCGACGTCGACGTGAAGCAACTCGGCCGCATCGGCGATGCATCGGGGATGCGGCGCGATCCCCCGACCTCATCTACTCGGACCCCATATGGGAGGCCTAGGGGAATGAGACAGCGGGGGAGGCTGGAGGAGTGCGCGGGAAGTGGCGGGGATGGACTGGCTGCCTGCCTGCGCGCGCTGCATCGCCTCCGCCGCCGCTTCCGTCGTCGTCGTCGTCGTCGTCGTCCTCGTCGCCGTCGGCGTCGTCGTCGGTCGCCGTCGTCGCCGCCGTCGTCGTCGCCGTGGTCGACGTCGCCGTGGTCGTGGTCGTCGTCGTCGCCGCCGCCGCCGCCGTCGTCGTCGCCGTCGTCGTCGCCGTCGACGTCGTCGTCGCCGCCGTCGTCGCCGCCGCCGTTGTCATCGTCGCCGTCGTCCTCGTTGCCGCCGAGCGGTGGCCGTCGTCGTCGAGCGGTGGCGGCACGCCGCCGCCTGCTCCGCAGCTCCTCGGCCTCGGCCCGCTGCCGCCGCTCGCCCGCCTCCGCGGCCCGGGCCTCCTCGCAGGAACCGCGCAGCAGGGCGGCGAAGGTCTCGCACTTGCTGGGCGCCAGGGGCGCGCGCGCCCGTCGTCGCCGTCGAGCGGTGGCCGTCGTCGTCGAGCGGTGGTGGCGCTGGGGGCGCGCGTGCCCGCCGGCGGAGGACCACAACAACAGACACCTCACGGGGCAAGTCTTCGACGGTGACACGACCGCGCCCTGGACTCGACTGCGCCCTGGACTCGACCTGGCAGCCGTGAGTTTGGGCCTCCAGCCCACCATAAGGATCGCCTAGGCTTCAGGGCGCTGGCGGAGGAGGAGGAGGAGGAGGAGGAGGAAGAGGAGGAAGAGGAGGAGGAGGAGGAGGAGGTTGAGGAGGAGAAGGAGGAGGGGAGGAGGGAGACGAGAAGAAGGAAGAGGTGAAAGCGGAGGTGCAGGAGGAGGAGAAAGAGAAGGTGCAGGGGGAGGAGGCGTCCGGGACGTCAGGAACAACAAGGAGGCCAAGGAGCATGTCGTCAACCTCCGGGAGACGAGCAACGTGCTAGAGGCCGCAAGAGAAGAGGCTGGAGATGAACTGCAGGAACTACGACAACACCTACGAGGGGCCGAGGCCGACGTCGATAACGTCCAAAGAAGCCGACCGAGCTCAGAGCAGCTAAAGGAGGATTGGAGGGTGCAAGAGGGGGTCTGCAACAGGGGGTCTTCAATGGGGGCTGAATGGCCCATGTATGCTCAATGTATCGTTCATGTATGTGATCGGGTACGATTGGCATCCAATGCTGGCGGTCATTGATGGCCCGTCATTCGTGCCCGCGCGTTGCCCGCGCGGGCACGCGCGCCGTCCATCCATTATCGTTCATGCGTGCGGGCGTTCTTGCATATTGCGTGTGGGCCGGCGAAGTGGAGTGCAAGTGTGTTTTGATTGTGCGGTTGATGATCGCGTATGTTCCCGAACGAAGACTTCTCGACCCCCAAGACAGATTTGGATTGGGCCCCGCGATTCTCCCAAAATGTGAATTCACATTTTCCTTTTTCCCAAAATGTGAATTCACATTTGCCTTTTGCCCAAAATGTGAATTCACATTCTGGCCCCCTCATAAAGAATCCTACACAAAATTCCAAAATGTGAATTCACATTTTCCTTTTTCCCAAAATGTGAATTCACATGTTGCTTTTCCCCACAATGTGAATTCACATTTTGCCCTGGCCTTCAAGATCCCCCAAACTGAGGCGCAGTGTTCCGCATGTCAGATTGGCTGGGCAGATTTCGACACTCACCTTACCGCTTTCGTGTGTTCCAGCAATTTCTTTTTGCGCCCTTAGCGCGCGTTGCCTTCGTCGCCTTTCCCGAGCCCCCCGCCCCCTTGCCCCCTTTCCCCTCAAGTCTCGCGCGCGGGTGCAGGCGGGGGGCTTCAATTAGTTCCCCCGCCGAACACAGCAATCGAGGATGCATCGCCCATTCATGGCCTTTAAAAACATCATTGCCGGGACCCTGCGCCCGACCCCCGCTTTCACCCTCCAAGAGGAGCTCGCCACCGCCATGGTCACTCACGGCAATATTGCTACTCCTTGAACGCGTACAAAGACGAGTCACAGCGAAGCTCCACGGAACTAAGCAGGAAATGGAAAACATTAAGAAGGCCAACATCGACCTCCCGACAATCTTGCTGTCGTGCAATCAGATGCCTACATCGTCGACGTTGAGACAGAACCGAGGGAGGCATAGTCTCCTGGGTCCGTGCCGAAGCCGTTCTGCCGCCCCCCTGGGCCGTCCTGAGGCCTGCTGGACCGTGCTGAGCACCGCTCGGGCCGTCGTGGGCCCCGCGCGGCGGGATGGGCTGGGGGGGGGCGGGGGGGGCAGAGAGCGCGTGCCGTCCTGTGGAGGTCGCGCACGGCCGCGTCCGCCGCCTCGCGGAGGCTCGCGCCCGCCTCTCGGCCGGGAAGCGCGGGCGATGAGAAGGAAGGGGAGGCGGGGGAGGAGGAGGAGGAGGAGGAGGAGGAGGAGGAGGAGGAGGAGGAGGAGGAGGAGGAGGAGGAGGGGAGGGGAGGAAAGGGGGAGGGGGAAGGGGAGGAAAGGGGGGGGATACAACTGAGGAGGAGGAGCAGGAGGAGGAGGATGAGCAGGAGGAGGAGGAGGGGGAGGAGGAGGGGAGGCAGGAGGAGGAGGAGGATGAGGAGGAGCAGGAGGAGCAAGAGGAGCAGCGGACAAGAACCACGGAGCAGAGCACGAAGGCGGGCTCCCAACGGCGGCGTGCCGCTGATGCTCTGGGGGCCGTCCTGGGGCCGCCTTGGGGGCCTGTTCGGCCGTTTTGTGGCGATCTTGGTGGGCGTCGGGAAGCCGAAGAAGCGGAAAGCCTTCAGACACCTCTGACAACAAAGAAACAACAACAAACACCGTGCGTCTTGGGGCCTTCTTGGAAGCCTCTTGGAGACCTCTTGGGCGGTCTTGAAGGCCTCTGGGCGTCTTGGACTCAACCGCACGCGCCGCCGCGCAGCGCTGCCCGCCCGACCGCCGCGGCGCCGCGCGCCCGCCCGCGCACGGCCGCAGCAGCGATAACGCCATACGCCGGCGATGGTAGCTCCGAAGTTAGGGGAAAGGGAGGGAAAGGGAGGGGGTGCTTCTCCTCCTCCTCCTCCTCCTCTTCCTTCTCTTCCTCCTCCTCCTCCTCATCCTCCTCCTCCTCTTCCTCCTCCTCCTCCTCCTTCTCGTCCTCCTCATCCTCCCCCTTCCTCCCCTCCTCCTCCTCCTCTTCCTCCTCCTCCTCCTCCTCTTCCTCCTCCTCCTCCTCCTGCTACTCCTCCGGCTCTACCTATTCCCCTTCCTATGCCAAGCCTCCTGGGTGGCCCCCGTCGCCATGGCTGGACCCGCCTCATGGGCATGGATCGGACAAAGCTGGCGCCAGAGCTGCGGGCCTCGAGGGGCGCGCTTTACCTACAATCAAAACGTGTATTAAGGACGGGTGGTAAGGACGCAAGACCCTTGGAGGCCGAACTTGGATTTTTGGGGCGGGGGGCGGCCAGTGAAAACGGCGAAGGACGGGCCGCAGAGGCAAGGACTCAAGGGTACCCTAGATGAAGGCACGCGTCCTTACTAGGCGCGTTGACTGTACTCAGGAACGAGCTCTGCGCCACACTGAACCTTAGTTAAAACGACCTTCAACATGCAGGCGCTCCACGCAGCAATAGTGGCCTACACTGCCCCGCAAAAGGCACCCCCGTCGGCCCCCGAATAAAAGTGCTGCGTGAGGACACGGGGGAGGATGAGGATCGATGATCGACGTCTGCGTTTTCACCATTTCCGAGCTGGTCTATCACGACGCAGTGGGCACCAGAGCACTGCCTGGGGGTGACAGGGCAGTTGGCTGCGCACCCCATGTTTGAAGCAGCCTGGGAATTCGGCGTGCCGTCGGCAGTGCAGACGAATATTCGTCTCGATAAGCTGATTATGTTAGCTCGAATTGCCTTTTGCTGATGTTCCAAGCCGTTCGCGCCCTCATGTTTGCGGCTGGGTTCTTTCCGACATTCTCAACGCAGCACTCTCCAGGACAGGTAAGAAGATGTGATTTGGGGAGCAATATTCTTGCACATGCGAAAAACTTGAGGGATCCACGACCCCAGTAAGGAACATGAGTCACACTTTCTTCTGACGCGCGTGCAACACTCTCCCTGTGCTTGGCTGCCTCAGCTAGATCATGCACGTCCTGCGTATCCTCCTCCTGTTTGTCCTGCTCCCTCTGCTGCTCCTCCTCCACCTCCTCCTTTCCCCCCTCCTCCTCGTCATCATGTTTCTCCTCCTCTTCCTCCTCATCCTTGCTTCCTCTTCTTCCGACCTCCTTTGTTCCCCCCCTCCTCCTGGCCATCTTCCTGCCTGCACCTTCCTTATCCTCATCGTCATCTCCCTTCTGCACGGCGGCGCCTGTCACCTGTTAGGTCATTCGGCTGCACTGTCACCCCCTTGTTCCTCCTCCTCCTCCTCCTCCTCCTCCTCCTCCTCCTCCTCCTCCTTGTTCTCCACCAAATCAGTCGGCATCTTCGATCAGACGCGCTACCCCGTCTTCTTATTCTCCTCCTGCGCGTCGTCGTCGTCGTCGTCGTCGTCATCATCATCATCATCATCATCATCATCATCATCATCATCATCATCATCATCATCATCATCATCAACACCATCATCATTATCATCATCATCATCACCATCGCCATCAGTACCACCATCATCATCATCATCATCATCATCATCATCAACAACATCATCAGCATCATCAACATCATCATCACTGTCATTGTCATTAACATCAGGATCATCCTTATAATAATCGTGATCTTGATCCTGATCCCGATCCTCGTCATCATCGTCGTCGTCATCTTCTTCATCATCACCATCATCATCACCATCACAGTCACCATAATCATCGACGCCATCGTCGTCGACGTCACCACCTCTACCATCATTATCAGCGTCATCACCACCATTCACTTTCACGGTCATCACCACCATCTTCCTCATCATCACCAGCAGAATCGTCATCGTCGCCGTCTCCTTCATCCTCCTCGTCCTCATTATCATCATCACCATCACCATCATCGTCATCATCATCACCAACACAAACATCATTCGTTATTCATCAACTTCACGCTTCCCGTTGCCTCAGGCTGATGTCGTTGAACCAGATCATGGGGCTGATGGCCGGCGCTTCGTTGATGTGCTTGGTAACCGTGATGTAGACTAAGGTTTTGCCGCGTTGTTGCTGTGTCTTGATCGCGCCAATAGAGGTTTACCTGCGAGGGTCCTCTCGTTGTCACAGGCCTCTTGCCTTAGCATGCGCGTCGTCATGTGCTGCAGCATCGACATAGCCAAGATCCTTGGTGGGAGCTGATAGTACTGCGCCGCCTCCGCTGCGTACTCTAACTCCGAGCTGTCGTAGAACCTCTCGATATCTATGATGCCTCCCGCTGTTGTCGCGCCCATGGTTTCCGTCGTCTTATCTGAAATCACTCGTAGCACTGCTTCCCTGAGGCAGCTTTGCCATGGTACAGCGGCGTCCCATGGCAAGTTGATCTGTTTCACCCAGTCTCGCACTGGTTCGCGGTTGAGTAGTTCGCAGCAGCGGCCAAACCAGCTCAGTAAAGCCAGTGCTCTATCTCCTCCCGTGGTCATCGAGTGATGTCCTTGGTTGGCCATCTCCGTTGGGCTCCAGCATCACGATGGCCTCCAGAATGTGCCACGGCCAGGCCAACGCCTTCTCGCCCGCGCTGTACATGTTGACGACTTCCATTCTTCCTTTCCTCGGGAGACTCCTGAGGTCGGGCACATCTGGTCGATGCCTTTCCCCTCGTTTGGAGTCCCTTGGATAACTTGGTCCATGTTCTCCAAGGTCCAAGCTTGTACCGGAGTGCTGTCGGCTGCTCGCCGAAGTCGTTGAAGTAGTTCGATGTCTTTCTCGTCGCGTTCTTAGTCCCAGATGCTCTCGAATATATCCTGCTCTGCGTTGATCTCGCCCACTGGCGACTGTCGTTTCCTCATCTCGTGTACGATCTCCTCATCGTAACGCTTGGCGTCTTTTTTGTGACTCTGTGCACGATTCCTAGGCGTTCTTCGCCGTGCTGGCCAGCCACTTGGTTGACGCATTGCGTCCTTTTCTAAGTCTGTTTTTGGTGCTTGCTTGGCCTGCTGTTGCCCCGCTTGATCCTTCGTCCTTGCGATGATGTGCACGCCGTGCGCGCTTGCCTGCTACTGCCTGTGCCTCCCCCATGTTGGCGTCTGCTCGCCGTTTTGTTCCTCGTTCCCCTCGCTTCTCGTCCTCTGACTCTGTCACATCACCCCTGGCTTACAGCGCGCGCCGCTATGACTCGCTGCTGCTTGTTCGAGCTACATGCGTTCTCCACGCGGCATTTTTTTTCAAGCCGTGCCGGTCGCGGGCTTGGTCCATTGTTGCATTGTTTTTTGGAGCGCTCTATGAAAGCACAGACGCGTGAGCTTCCAGATGTTCTTGTGTAGTCTTGCTGTCGGTGACGCCGCCTTTCCTAACGGAGAAAACTTTTCAGCGCGAACGACCGGCATGTCTTATCCGCATTGCTCTGCATCTCGAAGCCATTGTTTCAATTCCTGAGTTGCCGCAAGGCGTCCCAGGTGTTCGCCGTACGGTGCCACCAATCAGCCTGGTAGTCCGCAAAGCGTGGGGAACGTGGGACGTGCTTCTTCATTTTCTTAGTCCACGGCCCTGAGGAGGGGACCCACCTTTGTAACGCCGGATTCGTCGCACATGAAAAACGTGCGCGGAGGGGGGACCCAACATGATGTTGACGACGACGACGACGACGACGACAGCGACGACGATGGAGATGATGACGATGATGATGTTGGTGTTGACGATGATGATGACGATGATGATGAGGATGATGATGATGATGGTGAGGATGGGGATGAGGAAAGACCACATCAACTCACTACGCGACCAACTCCACGACAACAACTTACCGATGGCGGACAAGTCGATGGTGTCCGTCCACACGACCCAAAGCACCAACTACATAGTAAAGAGGCTGGCCAAGCGCAACATCGAGGTAGAGGCGTTACGCCAAGGGCGTGACCTCGGTCTTGATCGAGCGGCAAAAATGACGATGGCTAGGAAGAAACACAAACCGATAACAGAAAAACAAGAAACCGCTTCCGCCTCGTCGGGAAGAAAATCCGCCGATCCGGCGTGTGAGTTTCAAGGAGTCTCAGCTACAGCCTCGAGGCTGAGCCTCAGCCTCTGGGGGGGTTGCCGGGGTGGCTCTGCCGGGGAAGGGGGGGTGGGGGGGGGGGGTGCGAGTTTCCGGCGGATGCGTTTTTTGACACCCCTCACAAGGATCGTGGCCTCCGAGGGGGTTCCGAACTCGAGTACCACCCCTCCCGCACCAAGAGGCTCCGAGGAGGCCTCCAAGAGGCCCCAAGGGGCGCAGAAGAGGCCCCCAAGAAGCCCCAAGAGGCTCCCAAGAGACCCCCAAGAGGCCCTCTAGTGGCCCCAAGAGGCCCAAGAGGCCCCCAAGAAGCCCCAAGAGGCGCCCAAGAGGCCCCCAGAAGTCCCAGCCAACCACGAGATCCCAACCAGCATCCATGAGGCCTCTGACCCACCACCCACGCACGGTGGCGGGATAGGCCGACGGCCACTGGATAAATGCTGAGTGAGAGGAGGGGAGGGAAAAAGAGAGGAGGGACGAGGGCGAAGAAGGATCACATCAGTCGGAGCGCCCCGGATCGGCGGCACTGGCCGAAGGCCACTACAATCAGAAAGCTGGGCACCAAGCCGGTACCACTGGTACTGGAGCAGAGAACTATAGCATATCTACTCTACGGCTGCCGTACATTTGGAAGCTCACCCTCGGAGCTGACGGCTATCAGAAGGCAATATAATGGTAAGGCACTGAGAAGGCCACGGACGGGAAGATGCCGACGCACACTACTCGCAGTGGAAGGGCAAGATTTCGCGCTCAGCGTATCACGAACACGATTACGAACATGGTTCGACCTATGGGCGCACATCCGGAAGTACACGCCGCAGTTCACAAGGCGTGGCCAACCATCAACGACAATATGATTAAAGGCTCTAGCAGAGGAAGATGGAGGGAAAGACGTGGCATGGTGGGAAGCCTTACCCTGATTGGAAATTGGCTGGGACCCAACTTCACCGACGACGTGGACCGACAGCGCAGGAGACCATTGGGCAATGGGAGAAGGGCATGAAGCGAGCCCAAGAGACGTCATCAACCACATTATGAAATACGTCGAGAGGACGATTTGGAAGGAGGCGACCAAACACAGAAACGGCTAGGGCTTAGAGCAGGGGGCGGATTTCACAGACGTCAGCAAGCACCTCGAAAGGCTCAAGAAGCAGGGCACGTACCAGGAGTTTGGCGCGCTGGTGGCAGCTTATGCGTGCACGTAAGCTGGGCAAATGAACGTGGAAGTGCACGGTGGAGAAAATAACAAAATGAGCCGCAATGACCAAGACGAGTCACAACACCCGCTCGAGCGCGCGAAAGAAGGAGCTGAAGCAGTACCATCACTCTTGCTACGAGGCATACTAGTACCACCGCGTAGTTGGACGACACCTAGGTGGTGCATGCGACACAGAAGACACCGCCGCCTTCCCTCGTGGCCGTCTGGGCAACGACGAAGTGAAATTGGTTGATACACGAACGGCGCCGCTTTGTATATGTGGAGACGGCAGCGGAGGTGAGCATACATCGGACGGCAGGTGCAGAAGATGTGGATGGGGAAGGGCAACCATGGGCAACAGCAGCACGGGCGCGATCGAAAGAAGAAAAGGCCCTCTACAAGGAAAACGACAAACCAATAACTGTGCAATGATGCACGCACTGATCGACGCCCTGGTAAAGTCAGGCGGCGACGCGGTATACTGGACTGACTCAGCGGTGCTATGCCAAGGCTGCGCGAAGCGGAGGTACCTGAACAAGGCACTCATCGGATGCAACGGCGACATGTGACACAAGTTAAGGCAAGCCTTCAAACACAGAGGCGAAGGCACCATCACCCTGAGGCACATAGAGAGCCACCTGGAGCAATAATACACATTACTAAACATATACCCTGACCTTGCACGGAAATGCAATCGCCAAACCGAACTACTAGCAGCAGTACCGGTGGAAGAGCACAGCATACCACGGGGACAACAATATTGCTTCGACTGGGCCGACGCGGTGGGCTACTTGATCCGAATAATGATCTGCAGAGCAACGCTACAAGCGATCGGAAAGCATGCCGAAAGAAGACATCCAGGCAAACAACGGACAGTATACGCCACCACAGACATCAAGTCATGGCAGGCACTGCGGCGGCTCACCCGACACACGGCATGATACACGCGCCGAAAGCAAAAATATGGTTATGCTGGACTTGCGCGGCGAGTATGGCGAGACCAAGAGGCTGACGGAACTTAGAGAATGAGTAAGAAACAACAGGGGCCCTGCACGAGACCAGAACCTCCAAAAGCATGGGCCACGAGTTGAAGGCGATCCGCCACCACTGATGAGGCTAGGCTCGAGGCCGCGGCGACGGACGAATACTCCCTGCGCCGAAGGGTGGCGGTCGTCCGCCGCGTGACCTGCGGCAGGAAAAGCCCTGGATGCACCCAGCCCGCGGACAAGGAGCAAGGCCCTGTGGCCGAGTGCCCCGGGAGGCAGGAGCAGGACCTCGCCTGGGCAGACCCATCTTGCCGACGGATGCCGCGCCCAGGACTGGAGCAGGGCCTCTGCCAGGCTCCGCAGCCCACACAAGGCACGCTCGTTTCAGAACGAAATCCGAGGACAATCCTCCTCCCCCTCCTCGGCCTCCCCCTCCTATTCCTCCTCCTCCTCTTCCTCCTCCTCCTGCTGCTCCTCCTCCTCCTCCTCCTCCTCATCCGCCTCTTCTCCCTTCTCCTTCCCCTCCGCCTCCTCCTCCTCTTCCTTCTCCTCATTTTCCTCCTTTTCCTCTACCCCCTCCCCCCCTCCTCCTCCGCCTCCTCCTCCTTCTCCTCCTCCTCCTGCTCCTCCTGTTCCACCTCGCTCGCTCGCTCGCTCGTGAAGGCATTGGTGGTTCGCTGCCTATCCTAGAGACGGGAAGAGAAAGAGACGCGGCGACGAGGGTCCCCGGAACCCCCGACACCGAAAGAGCAAGGGCCCAGTGCCAAAGCACCCCCCCAAGAGGGGAGACGCAAGGGAGGAAGAAAGAAGACAGGGAGAAAGGGAGGCCGCAAGGGGGGAGCACAGGCACTGAACCACCACGACACCCCAGGACAATAGGCCCCCAAGGGCCAGGCCGCAGGCCAGGAGCCAGAAAAACGAGCCACGTTCAGCAAGCGACCAGCGCCGAAACCAACCGCAACGCGCCGACTGGGCAGCTGCTACCAGGCGGCCCTCACAACTTGAGGCTGACGCTCGGCACTCCAGGCTACCAAGTTACTGTCACTTTCCAAGTGCCTGCGATGTGCTTGCAACTACTGTACCCTAGCATCTGGATCTTGGCTACGAATGGCAAGAACATGCTATGCAATACCTCTTGGTATGGAATCGGCTCTCCAGGGGTCCATATGGCCTCCACGCCGCGAACTGCATATATCCAGCTTTCCTCCAGAACCTCCTTGCCAAAGGACTCGACGATATAGCAGGAGTCCTTCAGCACTTTCTTCGGGAACTCCTCGATCGCCCTGGACAGCGCCTCAAAGGAGACCGTCGCCTGGGACACGTCCTCCTTCTCAGCTATCTGGGCGCACTCATACTGAAACATGGCCACGGCTCGGGCTAGCAGCAGCTCCTTGTGCTCGAACCATTTGGTGGCCTTGGTCTTTCTCTCCCAAGTGTGCGCTGTCGAGGAGGCTCCCGCCTCCGCAGCTGCCGAAGGCATGTCCTCCGCCTCTGGAGCGGACGAACACGGGCTGGACCTTGGAGAACGAGCCCTGCTCGGGAGAGGCGTGCCACGCCGCACACGGCCATGAAGAGGCAGCCCACGACGGAAGGGGCTCCCACCTTCGCACGATGGTGTGAACTCCGGAGCGTCATGTCGTAGCAGCGCTGGCTTATGCGGGGTGAACCACATGCAAATTTCCATGGTCCCGTCTGTGTGTTTGTGTCCACGATCGACCACAGAAAATGAAGAAACGAGTTGGCGCAAGAACTGCACTTGCTCAACACCGTGGGTCGTGAACAACACGCATGGGGGCTGCCCGGTCTCGCGGATGATAATCTTTACCTTCAACTTGCCTGAGTCCGCGTTGGGGAGGTAGGAGGTAGGAGAACAGCACCTGAGTACCGGTCTCGACCATGCCAAGGACGAAATCCAGCCTGGCAGCGACGACCATCGCGGAAGAGGGCGGGGGTGGGGCGGGGCGGCAGCGCCTGGAAAGCCCGTGACACAGGGCAACCTGTGCCAGAAGGGCTCCCCTCTCCCTCCTCCTCCTCCTCCGCCTCCTCCTTTATCCCCTCCCCCTCCTCCTACTCCTCCCTCCGGGCGGGCGGCGCGCAGCCTGCAACGCCTGCTCCTCGGCGCGGCGTGCCGCTTCCAGCCGGAGGTCGCTGCCCTCCTCGCGCGCCCGTCGTCCGCGGAGGTGAGGACGGGGAGGAAAAGGAGGAGGATTGAGACGAGGACGAGGACGAGGACGCGGAGGAGGAGGAGGAGGAGGAGGGGAAAAATAATAATAAAGCGGAGGAGGAGGAGGAGGAGAGGAGGAGGAGGAGGAGGAGGGGGAGAAGGAGAAGGAGGAGGAGGAGCAAGAGAAGGACGAGGAGGAGGAGGCGGAGGAGGAGGAGAAGGAGGAGGAGGAAGATACCCAGGAAGAGGTCGCTGTGTTCATTGCGCACCCGTCGTCCTTGGAACAGGAGGACGAGGAGAAGACGGAGGACAAGGATGAGGAGGAAGACGAGGAGGAGGAGGAGGAGGAGGAGGAGGTATAGCAAAAGAAAATCAATAACATCTCACAAAGTCGATTGTTATAATGCCTGTGATTCAGCCTGAGGGGAAGAAACATGCAGTGGCTCATACGCTGAAAGAAGCGCGACTGTAGAGGGGGTTGATGCGAGCTGGGCCCGCCGACGACAGTGCACGCAAACCCCAGATCAGAACGACGCATGAAGGGCAGCGAAAGCTGTGCACTCATACCTGTAGCAGAGGAGAGGGACGAGGAGGAGGAGGAGGAGCAGGAGGAAGAATACCAGGAGGAGGTCGCTGTGCTCCTCGCGCGTCCTTCGTCCGCTGGGGAGGAGGAGGAGAAGAAGGAGGAGGAGGAGGAAGAAGAGGCGAGGAGGAGCTGGGCGCGGCAGGGCCGGTCGCATTCAAGCACCCGGCGCCCTGCCTTGCCTCGGACTCCGGCTGGCTCAGTGAGCACGTGAGGCCGGACCGCGTGGTGGGTTGTGACGTGGCCGTCCTTCGCGAGCGGGGTGGGCCCATAGCGCGCGGGGGCCCTGGAGCGGGCCGTCGGGCGAGGTAGCGTGGGGCGTGTGCTTTCTCCCGCCCTCTTGATGTCTGTAGCCGCTCGGCTGCGGTGCGCACGTGCACCGAGGAGCGCAGAATAAGTTCGTCTTCGGGGAGCAGCGCAGCGGGACGAGGTTGCCCCCAGGCGCAGAAGCCGCTCGCACTCGTAAGACAATTTGAACAAGGTGAGCTTCAGATGGGCGGTGAGGAAGTGCCGCTGGAGGAGAAGAATGAGCGATTGAATCCCGAGCGTACTGCAATGGTTCCTCTAACTCCGCTACCGTGGCCCCTGGCACGTTGAGGCGTGGTAGGATGCCAAGAGCAGCCTGGTGCGTGTCTGTAAGCCTTCTAAGGCCCCTCCCTCTCGTCACATCCAGCCGCGTGCATCGCCCGCCCTCTCTCGAGGGTTTCTTGGGCGCCCCGGCGCACACCTGGACTCTCCAGGGCTCGCCGTGGCTTCCAAGACGGCCCAGCAAGGCCACCAAGGCTGCGAAGATGGCCCGCCGTTGCCTCAAGAGGCACCCAGAAACACAAGAGGAGCGCCGAAGAAGTCGCGAGAGACATCCAAGAGGCTCCAAAACTCCCCAAAGGAAGGCGTTCTCCGCAAGAGGGTCTCCGGAAAAACCCAGGGCGGCCTCACGAGGCCACGAGACGGGCACAAAGAGGGCCCCCGGACGGGACCACGAGACGGCCCAGACGAGCAAAACGGCCCCAACGCAGGACATGAGAGGGCCCAGAGACGACCGAGGAGAGCCGCAAGGCGACCGAAGAATGGCCCCAAGGGGCTCCCGAGACTACCCCAAAGGAGCCCTCTCCCTCTCCCTCCCTCTGCCTGCCTCTCCCTCCCTCTCCCTCCCTCTCCCCCCCCTTTTTTCCCCCCCCTCCCTCTCTCTTCCTCCCTCACTCTCCCTCCCTCTCCCTCCCTTCCCCCTCTCCCTCCCTCTCCCTCCCTCTCCCTCTCTCCCTCCCTCTCCCTCCCGCTCCCTCCCTCCCCCTTCCCCCTCCCTCCCTCCATGAGAGCTTATCAGGAAGTGGAGGCAAGGGATGTCACGTGTGGCGGCCTCCTGGCGGCATCTCGGAAGGTCGTCGCGCGGAGTGCTTCGCTGGCACTGCGCCAGATCTGCCGCAAGCACCTGGATGTTGCTTGCATCAAGGAACTCTTACAGTGGGGGTCCGACCACATGAAACCTTCCACAAGAAGCCAACCCTGAGACCCCAGGACGTGCATTGATTTTTGGGTGGGAACGTTACGCCTTCCACAGCAAAACCATCGAAACCCAGTACACCCAGGGCACCCTGGAGGCAAGCAGGGTGTTTCTTGGCATGGGCCTCCACTATGCCAAGCAGCATGCAACACATACGGTGCACAAGATAGGTTGCACCCCACTCGTTGCACCACCTCGTATCCCACGTTGCCTACCCCGTAGATGCCACATTCTGCAGCTCCGCCACCGGGCCTGCACGATACAGGCGTGGTAGAATACCAAGTGCTTCGCTGTAAGGTTTCTGTCTTCTGATCTGACCCCTCCCTATTCACAGAAATGTGCACGCATCCCCCCTCCTCCCGAGGACAAGATCCCTCGAACAGCACGATGGATCCGCACTCACGAGGCATCGATCCCGTGTTAAAAAAACGATTGGCCCGCGTCCCAAGCTTCTGAGACGGCCCATGCAGGCAAGCAGAGACGCCAGCATGGCCCAAGATGCTTCGAATGGCCCCCAGAAGGGGTCGAAGATAAACGATGGGTCCGCGCTTCCGAGGCCACGATCCCCCGTGAACAAAACGATGGGTCCGCGTCCCGAGCTCCCCAGACGGCCCATGCAGGCAAGCCAGGGCGCCACAATGGCCCGAGATGCCTCGTACACGGGCCCAGATGGCCCCAAGGGAGCCGAATGTGGCCTCGAGACGGCCCAAGATGCCTCCAAGAGGGCCCACAAGGGCCACAAGAGGACCTCCAACAGGGCCAGAAAACGCCACAATCTATGATCCCCTCTTGATTGTTGAATGATGTTCGTATCCCCGTCTTTTCGAACTTCCGTCAGCTCGGGACAGCCCAGGAAGCCTCCACGATGGCCCCAAGACGGCCCACGAGGCCCCCACGAGGGCACGACCTCACGAGGGCCCAAGAGACGTCCCAGCCGGCCCTAACATGGCGCCAAGAAGGCGTCCAGACACCCACCATGCGGCCAACAGGGCCCCAGGACAGCCCAAGAGGGCCCCAAGTGACCCCACGACTGCCTCACAGGAGGCCAAGACGGCCCCAAGACGGTCCAAACGAGCTCCATGGGAGCTCACAAAACAGTGAAGACGAAAGGTGTCGTATGCGACGGCCTTCCTCTTCCTCCTTCACTTCCTCCTGCTGCTGCTGCTCCTCCTTATGCTCGTCCTCGGGCTCGTCCTCGTGCCCCTCCTCATCATCATGATCATCATGGTCATCATCCTCATCATCATCATGATCTACCCCTCCCCCTTGGCCAGACAACATTTTCAGACGCATAGCGGGGCTACGCGGCAGGATGCAAGGTTGATGGCACGAGCTGACGGACAGCCGCTCTGGGCGGCTGCAAACGCTTACAGGTTGGTCTGGTGAGGCCTGGAGATCCCCCCCAATTGAAAAAGGAAAGAGAGGGGAGGCATGACGGGGTTCGGGATGGCGCAGCAAAAAACCTTAAGGGTTGAAAACGGCCGCCGGGAGGCACGATCAATGCTGCGCACCGCACTCTCATGATCTACCCCTCCCCCTTGGCCAGACAACATTTTCAGACGCATAGCGGGGCTAGCGGCTACGCGGCAGGTTACAAGGTTGATGGCACGAGCTGACGGACAGCCGCTCTGGGCGGCCGCGAACGCTTACAATTTGGTCTGGTGAGGCCTGGAGATCTCCCTTATCCACGAAGTGGACTGCTTAAAAGGCGTTTATAAATTAATCCTGCTAGCACTTTAGTCAGCTCTTTAGGATAAGCTTGAGCACGTAACGTATTCCAATTTCCACAGCTATCTTTCCCCTCCAAGACGGTGTGGCGGCAGCCTGTCCGAGAACACAGCCCATTTGACATAGTACACCTGCGGCCAGCAGAGGACATATCAACACCGTGGGATAACAACGTCGTACTCTTTTTCCAAGCTTCACCGTACTGGCAGAAATCAAGGTGCACAAACGCGGGAGATAGAACCTCGGCCCCGAAGGATTTCATCTTGGTGAGCTTTTTCAAAGCCGGGGCTTTCCAGACACGACTCGTGCGAGGGTTCTCGACAGTCCAGGGGGCCCCAGCTTTTGACGCGGCCCGGCAACAGCGAACGACAAACCACATCAACTGGTTCCCCTCCTTGACCTTCCTGGCGTTTTTTTCACCCAGCCCAGGGAGTCCCATGATATACTTTTGTTCGTCCCGAAGAGGCCCACGATGGGTCCGCGTCCCGAGCTCCCCAGACGGCCCACGCAGGCAAGCCAGGGCGCCACAATGGCCCGATGGCCCCAAGGGAGCCGAACGTGGCCTCGAGACGGCCCAAGATGCCTCCAAGAGGGCCCACAAGGGCCACAAGAGGACCTCCAACAGGGCCCGAAAACGCCACAATCTATGATCCCCTCTTGATTGTTGAATGATGTTCGTATCCCCGTCTTTTCGAACTTCCGTCAGCTCGGGACAGCCCAGGAAGCCTCCACGATGGCCCCAAGACGGCCCACGAGGCCCCCACGAGGGCACGACCTCACGAGGGCCCAAGAGACGTCCCAGCCGGCCCTAACATGGCGCCAAGAAGGCGTCCAGACACCCACCATGCGGCCAACAGGGCCCCAGGACAGCCCAAGAGGGCCCCAAGTGACCCCACGACTGCCTCACAGGAGGCCAAGACGGCCCCAAGACGGTCCAAACGAGCTCCATGGGAGCTCACAAAACAGTGAAGACGAAAGGTGTCGTATGCGACGGCCTTCCTCTTCCTCCTTCACTTCCTCCTGCTGCTGCTGCTCCTCCTTATGCTCGTCCTCGGGCTCGTCCTCGTGCCCCTCCTCATCATCATGATCATCATGGTCATCATCCTCATCATCATCATGATCTACCCCTCCCCCTTGGCCAGACAGCATTTTCAGACGCATAGCGGGGCTACGCGGCAGG